AACAAAACATTGATAAAGGTCTCTGGTTTTTCAGGAAGTATTTTACAGGCACTGTGATATATAGTGTTAGAGGCAACAAAGTCCCTACTCCCAAGAAACTCAAGTTCCAGTTAGAAAAAAATACTAGCTTATGTTTATTGAGTCCTCTGTGCCTGTAAGTACTTTACACATACTAACTTAATTAAACAGAAACCATAAACTACTAGCCACACAAACAAAGAATGAAGATAATGAGGAGAGAACAATTAATGCTGCCTGTAATGGTCAAGTAAGCTTCAGAGAGGTAACATTTGAGATGGTACATGAAAGACGGTCACGATTTCATTAGAAAAGGTAACAGTTCCAGAGGAACCACACCCAACTAATAGCCATAGGGTCTATAGCAGAGGGTATGAAGAATCAAATCAGCATCCTACTAAGGATGTGTACACTGGAACTATAGTGGGCAAGGCTTTGAATGTGTAGTATTCAAAAGTTCAGACTTCATCCTTTAGAAGATCTTCAAGCCCAGTGCAATGGCTCACACCTGTAATCCCAGCACTTTGGGAACTGAGGGAGGAGGATTGCTTGAGCCCAAGAATTCCAGACCAGCCTGGGCAACATGGTGAGACTCCATCTCCACAAAAAATTTAAAAATTAGCTGGGCTTGGTGGCATGCGCCTGTTGTCCCAGCTACTTGGGATGCAGGAGGTCAAGTCTGCAGTGAGCAATGTTCATGCTACTGCACTATAGCCTAGGTGACAGAGTGAGACCCTGTCTCCAAAAGAAAAGAGAAGTCAGGTGAATGCAGAGATAGAATTGTAGGATTTGATTATACAAATGCAAATCTAGGGAGGAGTAAGAAGATGAAACAAGTTTCTAGCAGTTGGGTTTTGCATGAAGACAGGGAGAATGAAAGAAAGGGAGAGAATGAGTTTTATTTTGTCAAGGGGACTTTCTTGGGAAGAAATTTCCAGTGGACAATTAGAGCTGGATTTCAGGAGAAAAGGGCTAGAGACTGACTTGGGAGTTTAAGAGTAAGTAGAGCAAGAGAGGCTCAAGGACAGAATGATGGGGGAAGACTTGACATTTAAGGGGCAGGAAGAACAGCTGGAAGAGAAGCAATTAGTGGTAAGAGGGGAACCAAGGAAATCTGTGTTAGCCAAGCTCACTAACTTCTTTGCCAAAAGAATGAACTGGGCCAGGTGCGGTGGCTCATACCTGTAATCCCAATAGTTTGGGAGGCCAAGGTGGGTTGATCTCTTGAGCCTAGGAGTTGAAGACCATCCTGGGCAACATGGCAAAACCCCGTCTCTACTAAAAATACAAAAATTAGGCTGGGTGTGCTGGCTCACACCTGTAATCCCAGAACTGTGGGAGGCCAAGGTGGGCGGATCACAAGGTCAGGGGTTCGAGACCAGCCTGACCAACATGGTGAAACCCCGTCTCTACTAAAAATACAAAAATTAGCCAGACATGGTGGCACGCGCCTGTAATCCCAGCTACTCAGGAGGCTGAGGCAGGAGAATCACTTGAACCCGGGAGGTGGAGGTTGCAGTGAGCCAAGATCGCACCACTGCACTCCAGCCTGGGCAACACAGCAAGACTCCATCTCAAAAACAAAACTTTAAACAAAAATTAGCTGAGCATGGTAGTGTGCACCTATAGTGCCAGCTACTCAGGAGGCTAGGTAGGAGGATCACCTGAGCCTGGGAGGTTGAGGCTGCAGTGAGCCATGATCGTGCCATTGTGCACTACTTCAGCCTGGGTGACAGAGTGGAAACCTTTTATCAAACAACAACAACAACAACAACAAACTGGCAGGATGAAGGCTGGTGGAGAATGGATAACTAATAAACAGTAGCTCTTTCTACCCATCTTATATTAATAGTTACTTCAGGAGAGGGATGCGGGTCTGATGACAAGCTTGAAAAACAGCATATTTTGACCAGGGAAGCCAGCAAGTCAGTGAAGGCTGCCTCATAATGCCCCACTTATTTGCCCTTGTATCTGCTTGTATCTCTTCCACTCAGAGCCCCGAAGCCAGGACAGGAGACGGCGGCAGCAGCCACTGACCCATCGCCCTGCAGGCAGCCTTGCTCCATCCCCAGCTCCTACTAGTTCTGGCCCAGCCTCCTCACACAAGCTGGGCTCCTGTCTACTGCCCGATTCACTCAACATACCAGGTCTGTACCCGCTGCCACTGAAATCTGGGTTTGCCAGCCTCCTCCGTGGCCAGCCCAGGTTCTTTAAGCCTACTTGGGAGACCAGGGGCATCAGTTATCCTCTTGGTATCCTAAACCTCTAACACTGGTGCCTTTGTATAGGAAGCTGGAATTGATTAGTCTTTGTGTAATAAAACAATAGTTAACATTTATTGAACATTTACTATGTGCCAGGCACTGCTCTACACATTTAATCTCATTTAATCCTCATTTTTACAGTTGAGGAACCTGAGGACTTTTTGTCTACCTGCAAAGTGCTACTTACGCAAATTCCCTGACTCCAGGAGCTGGGCAACATTAGACAAAACAGGAGAATGAAAAAAGCATGACAGGTCTTTCTCCTGTCAACACTGCTAAATGTTGTGTGCAACCGTATCATTCACACAAAACTTAAGCCATCTCTTCTCCTTTAAATTACAGACCCAGCTATATAAAGAAATGGATGGGAATGATTTTAAGATTGTAGTCCAACATGTTCTACCTCACTCAAAGACCCCTACTCCCAACCTGTCTACTCTCCTCAATGGGTAGCACTGAACCCACCAGTCCTGGGTAGAGCTGACTTGATCCTCAAATGCTAAACATATGATTGGGGTAGGCCCTGCGGCCTATAAATTGACACAGGATTTAAGCTTGGGTACATTCCGATTCTAGCCTGGAGTTGCTGCTCCACCCCTTGGACCAGACTAGAGCCTCAACCGGGGGTGAGTTTGCTGCCCAGGCAACATCTGGAGACATTTTTGGTTGTTACACTGAGGGAGATGAGGAAACAGCATATATTGTTTAGAGACTAAGAATGCTACTAAACATCCTACATTGCACAAGACTACTCCCCACGATAAAGAATTATTCCACCCAAAATGTCAACGTGCCAAGGTTGAGAAACCCTGATCCTTTGGAAGTTACCTCCTCTTCTCTGTGACCCCTACCCTGATCAGTTTCCTCTGTTCCCTAGGGAGCGGCTGCTCACTCTTGTCCTCCGGGGACAAACCAGAGGCTGTCATGGTAATCGGGAAAGGTCTGCTAGGGACTGGAGCTCGGATGCCCTGCATCAAGACTCGATTGCAGGTAATATTTTTGGGTCTTCAGCACAACTACTCTGGCAGAACCCAGCAAGGCACTGTTCCTCTGGGTAGTGGGAGGGAAAATGCTCAGCACTGCTTTACTGCCTCTACGCTTGGCCACATCAGAGAGCTTCTCTGGTGCCTGAGTGCCTGTCTGTCCAGTCCCCCTCCTGCCCTCCACCATCCCCATCAGCCAGGTCATTTGCTTGCTTTCAACCTGTCCCTGCCAGATATACCCCAACTTCAGCCTGCTAGCTTTGGCTTTCCCTGCCCCTGCCCTTAGCTTCTCCTCTCTTTCTGCCCAGACCTGCCCGAGGAGAGTTTCCGCCAGGAGGGGTCCCGGATTCCCCAGGTAACACATTTGGTTGCTGCTGCTAGGAACAGCCCTGCCACCAACTCCGATTTAGTCCAGATCCCCATGCTAGGTAAAGTTGAGTACAGGCAGAAGCTGACTGGATGGGTGAAGTGTACACTGCTCTGGCAGGGGCTGAGGCATAGAGGGCTCTGAGAGGGGTCTACCAACCCTCACTATCTTTCTACACAGTGTTTCTCTACTCACCCAGACCTTAGTCATGGTATAGCCATGGCGGTTAAATGCTGGATCTGTTTGCCACCCCTAGTTATAGACTTGGAGTGCACAGTCATGGACTGAATCCAGGACTTCTCTGGCTATTATCGTGCCTCACCCTCTCAGCTAGAATTCAATGTCCCAGTACCTCTACTGATCCCTATACTACAACACTCTAATGCATGGAAACTCTAGAAGCAAACTAAAAGCAAAAAAACTCATGGAAGAATCTAGCCTCTTAGCAAAAACCCTGTCCACACAGGCTAGGCCCAGGTTGGGCCGGGGCTCACCGCCGACTCGCAGAGGGATGAAAGGCTCTTCAGGCCCCACATCCCCTACCCCCGGGACCAGGGAGAGCAGTGAGCTGGAGCCGGGACCCTGCTCTGCTAAACCAGGGTGAGCACTTGGGTCCAGTCCCTCACCCCACCCCTCACTTCTGTCCCCTCATTCCCATTTCTGTCATTCAGAATAATTTTCTGCCTTCCCTACTCCTTTTGAGCACAAAGACTAAATGTACTTTCATTAAGAATCTAGTCCCTGATTTTTTTTTCCCCCACCATGGCCACAGTCTTCAATCCAAAGGAAAAGAAAACAACTTTTAGTTAGGGCCTAAGGCCTAGGAGCTGGCTGGTTCCAGCAAGAGACCACTGTGCAGTAACCAACTTGCCCATCCTTACCCATCTTCATCTTGCTTCACTTCTTTCACTTCCCAGCCCCTGGTTAGCAGAACAGAAGAGGAGCAGAGTTTTCATAGCCCTGATTCCTCTCTCTTCTCTGTTGCAGGCTGCCTCAGGCCAGGCCCCCACGGCCCCGCTCTGCCCCTGCCTTTTCTCCTATATCCTGTAGTCTGTCTGACTCCCCATCCTGGAATTGTTACAGCGGGGGTCCCTTGGGCCAACCTGAGGTTTGTTTTGTCCCTAAATCTCCCCCACTCACTATTTCTCCCCGGGTCTGATAATGCCTTTATGTTGAAGCCCAAGATATAGCCCCAAGATGGGGTAACACGTGGGAAATATGCTAGTTCCCCTCCAGGCCGCTGATTCCATGTGACAGCCGTTAAGTCCTTGGAATGCCAGCCACGCTGTCCAAAGCATTAAAGAGCAGCACCTTGAGACAGAACGAAACAGGGACCTGCCACCCCTTCCTTCCCTCCACAGCACAAGATTTTGGGACCACAAAAAAAAATCTATATTTTTATATTGGGGGGAGGGAGTAGAAAAGCAAGCCCCTATACTGGGCCCTATTCAGTGGCAGCTTCTTGTTCCATAGGATTAAGGAAGACTTTGAGGAAATAAAAGTTGTTTGGAAAAATCCAGGTGTAGTTGCTTTGTATGTTGTGATGGGTAGAAGGGATGAAGTGAAGTGTGAAGGCCCCTCATACCCTCCATCTTGCCTCAGACTATGTCCTGGAACCCTAGAAAAGAGGGGGAAAGACCTGAGGTAAGGAAAATGCTGCAGCTTTCCTCCGGGGATTCCTTCAGGAAGTAACGTCTATCCATATTCCCTTTATACTTGTGACCCACACTTCAGGCTGGCTCCAAAGCCCCCCCTTCCTTCTCTATAGCTTGGGTCAGCAGCCAACCCCTGGCCTCAGAACATGGAAACAGAATTCTACATCTGTCACCCCCTCACCAAAAACATTCTGCCCAAATGAGGTCTAAACAACCTGGGGAAAGTGGGAGCTATTTAAGAGCCCAAATCCTTATACTTGGATGGTACCCTCGGTACCTTCGTTCCTACCGGTGTCAGTGCCTCCTTACAACTATACTCCCAACTTGGGCATCTACCTATTGAGGACAAGATGGGGACTGTGAGGGTTAGGAAACCCACTCCCATTCTAGCAGGGAACAGTTTACAGGGAGGGGACAGCGCGCTCTCTACTCTGTGCAGATAAAGGGGACCAGTTCTGGACTGTATCACGCTTGGCCCGACACTTTCTGATTGGAAGTTTCGAACCCTGCTACCCCTGGCGCGGCCTCACCACTCAGCTCTGGGGGCTGGGCGCTACAGCCCCGGGCCGTTACCTGGGGCGGAGAAAGCGCCACTTTCATTCCTGCTTCTTGGGATTGTTGACGGCCACGTAGTGATAGAGAACAACAAGCAAGAAGAGCGACACGCCCAGCATGTTGGCGAAGATGGCGAGCTGCACGTCGGTGATCATCCTGCGGAGGAGAGAGGGGCTGAGCCGCGCGGGCTGGCGCACTCCTCGCCCTCGCAAGGACCCGTCCTTGCCCCACGGGCCGGCCACGGCCACGGCGGGACTAGCCCGCGGGACGGCGCCTTGCGTGCCTCTCACCTGACCAGTCCGGCTCGGCTCCGACGCCGCCAGCAAACAAGCCCGAGGTAGGAGACCTGGACCGGAACTTCGTAGCGCCAACTCGGGCCCGAACCAGCCGCTTCCGGCGGGGGGCGCGGTCGGGACGGCCTCTCTAGCCCCACAGTCTCGTCGGCTCCGCGCAGCGCCCTACGGCCGCGACTGGGGCGGGGCCACGGGCGCGCCTGCAGTGGGAGGTCCAGCCGTAGGGGGTGGGGTGGGGCCGCGGACGCGCGCCTGGGCCGGGTACGGTACAGCTGGTTGCAGCTGGCGTGGCTCGGGAAGCGGCTAGCGAAGTCGTGGTGGCCGCCTCCCCAGGGCGGAGGAGTGGGCTGGGGCGAGGGTGCAGCGGCGGGGCCGGCGGGATACTCCAACCCCCTTCCGGCCCCGGCCCTCGGTACTGCTGCCCACCCTTCGCTTCCCGGCCCGGCCCAACCAGGTGCTTCCTTTGGGCCCTGCCCTCAGTGCCCTCTCCCTGGCTCGGGCGGCGGGGACAGGAGTGGGAGGCGTTGTAGAATGGGGACAGGGCTGGGGCTGCCGGGTACTCCTTTCTCCGGCGCCAACCTTTGTGACCCACATGCAACCAAGTAGAACCATCCTGCCTTTTGTGATCTGACCAGGATCTTAGCCGGGCTCCCTCCCTCCACGCTACCCCTGGAGCTGGGCGTCGGAAATAGGGCGGACCCTCCCGGAATCAAAACCCAAACCGTGGGACTTCGGCCAAGTGGGAAATCACCCCCCGGATGTGAGGGAGGGAGAGGGGAGAAATGGAGAAGGGGAGGAAGGGCTGGGACAAGCAAGAGGGGTCCTGGGTTCAGAACAGATTAGGTCGCCGAAGAGAACGAAGAGCGGTGGCTGCGGGTACCCGAGGGTCTCTGGCGAGGGGAGAGGCACCCTGGAACTCTCCAAGCCTCTGCCCAGCCAGAACTTTCTACCCCCTCACTCCATGCTTTCTCTCAACTTCACCATAAAAGGGAACGGCACCGAGCCAGGCCAGGGCCGGGGGCTGGGCTGTTGCTCTGGAGCTGTCAGGGGTAATGGAAGCCAGTTGCTTTGCGGTAGAGGGGGGCCAGGGCTCAGGGGAGGCCTCTGCTTCTCGGAGCCAAAGAAAACTCTACAGGAGATGCTATGAGCTTGGGACAGGGGACCAGTTTGCCGCCCGTGTGTACGGAGCTGGGGATGCACTCTCCCAAAGTGGCTTCCCTGGTCTGGGACCATCAACAGTTTGTCCCCCAGGGCTTCAGCCCGGTGACTCCTAAACGTAATCCCTGCCTTTAGTAGTCTGTAGTTCCCCTGGCCTCCCCCTACCTCACCACCACCTCACCACCAGCCCCCACTCAATATTTCCCAGAAGCTTCATATTTAGAAAGCCGAGTCCCCTCCACATAACACTGGTGAAACCCCAGACAGGTACTCCCTTATGCATCTCTCAGTTAGCAGTCTGTTTCCAGCTCCCCTCTGGGAGAGTAAGGGTCTAGGTCTTAAGGATTACACATCATTATGCTTCATGTCTCCTGGAAATTTGAAGCAGATCCAAGTCCAACCAAACACTTGGGTCTACTGTTGAATCAGAACTAGCCCTCCCTTTTAAAAATAAGCTCTACCTTTAGGCTGGCCCTGGAAGTTAAACTTTCTAGACTGAGAATGACATGAAAGAAAGCCTTGGAAGTGCTTAAAACCAATTGACCCAGGTGCATAGTATTCTGGACTATCAGAGCCGAAAGGGGCCTTCAGAATCATGAAGAAGGAAACTGGCCAGGCATGGTGGCTCATACCTGTAGTCCCAACATTTTGGGAAGCCAAGGTGGGTGGATCACCTGAGGTCAGGAGTTCGAGACCAGCCTGGCCAATATAGTGAAACCCCGTCTCTAGTAAAAATACAAAAATTAGCTGGTAGTGCACGCCTGTAATCCCAGCTACTCAGGAGGCTGAGACAGGAGACTTGCATGAACCCAGGAGGCAGAGGTTGCAGTGAGCCGAGATTGCACCGTTGCACTCCAGCACTCTAGCCTGAGCAACAGAGACCGACCCTGTCTCAGGAAAAAAAAAAAAAAAAAAGGGAAGAAAACTGAGGCCCAGCAGGTAATTGATTTCACCAAGTTTCTACAAACTGGTGAAAGAGCAGTGTCACCTCTTCCTCCTACCTCTGCTCCATGTTCCAGGTCAGACTGGACTCAGTAGGTTGTCCTAGGGTTAGGCACAAGAGGGAAAGGATTTATTTTAGGACCACCCAGAAATTCATTCACCTCCCAGAACTTCCTGTGCCTAGGTCAGTGAGTCTTTATCAGCCTTGAATGGGTCATTTGGCCCAGTGCCTGGAAGAACTGAAACAAAAAACAGTCTATGAGACTGAACTAGACTTAACTAAGAACAGACATATCTCGAACCAAGCTTGGATAGAAAACTATTTGGGAAGTGAGACAGGCACAGCCTCATCCTGGGGGGATTTGGGAGGATGTGGAGGGAAATGACTGGGGGGCACTTGTGGAGCTCAATCTCTGTGATTAGTGTGACATTTTCAAGGAAAGGACTGGCCAGAATTAGGCTCAGGAGTGAGAAAGCAACAAGACCCGGGAGAAGGGGGACTGGGTTCAGGGAGGTGGGCTACTAAAGTATTAAACCTGGAGGAAGAGCTAAAAGGAAAAGTAAAGTGTATCTCTTTGGAGAAAAGTGGGCTTTTGCTCAAGACTCCCCACAAACTTGAATTCCCATGTGGATTGGCATGACCCAAGGTCCAAATCACCTTTTTTTTTTATTTTTATTTTTTATTTTTGATATGAGTCTCGTTCTGTCACCCAGGCTGGAGTGCAGTGATGCAATCTCAGCTCATTGCAACCTCTGCCTCCCAGGTTCAAGCGATTCTCCTGCCTCAGCCTCCTGGGTAGCTGGGATTACAGGAGTGTGCCACCACGCCCAGGTAATTTTTGTATTTTTGGTAGAAATGGGGTTTCCCCATGCTGGCCAGGCTGGTCTCCAGCTCCTGACCTCAAGTGATCCTCCTGCTTCGGCTTCCCAAAGTGCTGGGATTACAGGCGTGAGCCACAGCACCAGGCCCCAAATCGTATTATTCCCCCCTTTTCCCTCTCAATATTCAGTCCTCTGACAGAGAGGCTAGACATAAAATGCTTCTTATTGCTGGTGCCCACGGCTGTCCTGACCCTGGTCATGAACTCATTGCTCAGTCACTGAAGCTGAATGAATGAGTTAATTGCCTCGTAGGGCCAATTGGCACTAGATCCTTGGAAATTACCCAATTTGGAGAGGTTGTAAAATAGATCATGTCCTAGTGCCACCAGGAACTTAGCTTTTTTGGGGGTCAAGAACTCTTACCAATTGCTTTGGAAATCTATGGCTGCCTGCCAATACCACCACCAGAATGTCACTGCCACCATCACCACTACCACTGCACTCTAACTTTAGTCTCCACTGCAGCCTGTTTGCCCACTCAAGCCAGCAAGGGGAAGCGTCCTCCCTGGTGAACTCAGAGCCACTGATACCTTTGTGATTTCACAAACATTCATGACAGCTCCTAGGTCTTGTCTCCTAATTACATAAAAGCAAATGAAATGCAACCTACTGCAACTATATTTCAAAGCCAATATTTTTTACCTGATACACTTAAATTATACACAGATTTTTGAACTTCAGAGTGTAGGAGAGGGAATGGGTAACAACTGGGCAGTGACAAGATGGCTGGGGTGACTTTTCAGGTTGCGAGAGGCCTCCTAAGGGCAAGGAGAGGGAGAAGAGCAGAGAAAGAAAACCCAGAGCAGCAGCTGGGGCAATCTGGAGGGGAAGTGGGTTGGCTTCCTGCCAGGGCCAGAGCCAGAGCCTGGAGACCAGGGACAAAGCTGCAGCCTTCCACTGACAACTTCTTTGAAATCGGGATCTCCTGTGAACATTTCCTTCAAATCTCCCTGTGTGCTGATACCCAGGGTTCTAAGGGGCAACTACAAATTTCCGTTTCTGTTTGTTCCAGCATTTTCACCACCACCCCCACTGTTTTGTCCTGAGTCAGTCTCACTCTGTTGCACAGGCTGGAGCGCAGTGGCGCGATCTTGGCTCACTGCAGCCTCCGCCTCCAGGGCTCAAGAGATTCTCGTGCCTCAGCCTCCTAAGTAGCTGGGATTACAGGCACACACCACCACACCGGCTAATTGTTGTATTTTTAGTAGAGACAGGCTTTCACCATGTTGGCCAGGATGGTCTCGAACTCCTGACCTTATGGGATCTGCCCACCTCGGCCTCCCAAAGTGCTGGGATTACAGGCATGAGCCATTGTGCCTGGACTAATTTTTGTATTTTTAGTAGAGATGGGGTTCACCATGTTGACCAGGCTGGTCTCAAACTCCTGACCTCAAGTGATCTTCCCACCTCAGCCACCCAATGTGCTAGGACTACAGGCTTGAGGCACCACACCCAGCCTGACCCTGTCTTTTCACAAATATTTCTCTTAGCCATCAAGGTCACATTCTGGGTCATAGGATGTCGGAGGTAAGATGGTTCAGAGTTGCATTGATGATTTGATGGCATTCATTCTCATGGCTTCCACCTATTACCCTGCATATGTTGGAAGAATCAATGGTCCACCATTGCTAACCATCCTGGACACTGGTTTCCACTAGGATGTGTTACTCTTATCTTAAATTCAGTATGTTCAAACTACGATCACTTTTCTTTCCTCCAAACCTGCCCTCTTCCCGACTTCCCCATCTGGAATCTTCTCTTGTGTCTCCCTTCATCTGGTTCCTCATTACTCAGGCAGTCACCACGCAGTTACAACGTTCCCTGCCTCTTCATGGTCACTGTCACCACCAGAGCCCAAGACTGCATCACTTTGCAATGTAGAATTTGGAAGGAACTTCAGATGACACATAGACTCCCAGTGGTGTCAAGCGATTTGCTGGGTCATAGATAGTGACAGGAGGAGCTGGGGCTACACTGCCTGTGTTGTGACACTGTATTCAATATTATCACTCATAATATCTTCTTTTGTGTATGCGTATATGCTTCTACTCAAAAACTTGCAATACAACCTCATAACCAGTCATTTGAGCCTCTCCCTAATTTCCACAATCTACTTCTCTGAATTTCGGTCCCATTTTTTCCTGACACAAAAAAAGAGCTAACGTTGATTGAGCATT